CGTTTAAAATTACCAGTTGATAGGATACCTCTGTTCTCCCTTGGAGCAAGGGTCACTTCGCAGTGGCTCCTTCCCTAAACAGCCTTTATACACTCTCGCGAATGCAAGCGTAGATCTCCCCTGAATGAAGCCAGTGGCATTTTTGCCTAGATAGCCCGCCGTGCGTGGTATGCGTAAACGGGCATACTGGTTGTATCACGCACTGCGTCTCCGCCTATCTCCACTTAGTTGATCAACAGTACTCGAAGGGCGTGTAGAAAGAGAGAGATGAATGCTGTCGTGGCACCTCAACACTTCACATGACATAGGCTGGTCTCTTTTGATTGACATTTAGGCGGATTACTGGCTGACAGTTGATTACAAATATTTTTGTTGGCTGGAGGACATTAAATGTCTTTGGAACAGCGGCTCTCTCCGTGTCCATTGCCTTTATAGGTCGTGTTGTATTTTGCTATTTTATTAAAAACGATGTAGTATAGCTCTGTCTATTTTAGTTTGGTCATATTGCATTGCATTTCAAAGGTTACCATTTTAAAGCAGTACGTATAGTTATGCAAAAAGCCGTTAGAAGAAGATATAAGCCATGATAGAGGAACATTAGCCGATCGTGTTACAAAACTCACGCGTCCCGTTGTGCCTTGTGGCTCTCTCTCAGGCACAGCCAGCAATCGCAGAGTAGCGCGCAATATAAACAGGGTGACATTACCGACAGAGACAAGGGAGACTGGAATGGACATTTCTGGCTTATTAACCGTCGTCAGTCAGTCATACTCAACACCGAAGTGTGGAACATATGGGGCTTCATCTCTCGAGCCACTGGCTCATTGTCTTATCAGTTGCGATCAGGTGTATACAAGGGTAAACAGGGACTCACCGATCTGGGTGTTGCACACCACGGGGTTGAGAATGACTGGTTGATGGCGATCAATAAGCCAGAAATGGCCAATCCAGTCTCCCTTGTCTTTGTCATTAATGCGATTCCGTCAATATATGCCATTTTTCACGAATATAACGTTTAGGACAATAAGGGCTTTCCGTGGATTTGTTTTCATCATATATAGTCAGCATTTATCCTCTACGATGTTTGTCTCACTCTGAAGAACAGGTTTATTTATTTCGTCAGAACAGTCCGACTTCTACTAACCTTGAAGGGAACGAAACGACAGGAGGAAACCAATGATTCTACAGCGCTCGCTATGGTATGCGACAAAAGTTACGAAATCTGGACGTACACATGTCAAAGTGGAGCGACGCTCATCGGACTCTCTTGCTTGAAGGGCGGAAACAGAAGTCCTTTTTGCCTTGGGGCTTCGAGTCCTGAGTCCACACAGACTGTACCACGACAAACAGCGGCCACTTTTCACGTATTGTATCTTAAAAGGATGGGCGATATTGGGTGGTTTTTTGGCATATTTACCACCTCAAGCCCCTCTTACATCACTCATAGCTAGGCAGCCAGGGGACTGAAGCGGAGTTTACTGTTAGTCGATTATTCCCGGAAAAAGCGATCTCGGGCTGGAAATATTTAAAGATGCGCGTTTGTGCTGTTCACTGCTCTGGACTTACGTCCAGCACCCTGCTTGGGCTTGGGGTACAATTAACTGACGATGGCAAGTATGACGGAAACCGCCACTTCAGACCTTTGCTAGTACCCTCATTACTTTTCGACTACTGGTCTTGTATTCGCGTGACCGCCTGCATAGTCCGCAGGTTTCGAACTCCAAAACAAACGAAAATTCTCAATCCTATCACACAATCAGGAAAGATCGATTCACGCCTCTTCAATCCAACTTTTAATACTATTGATCTACACTATGAGGACAAAGGTCTCTAGTTCAAGTAGGAGGACGTTTGGCTTGAAAATTATTGAAGACCAAATGGCTCTGATGCGAGCCCTAAGCACCCAGACAAGGGTTCTATATTACTAGCTGATAAAGACAAATTAACAAGAGCTGAACGTTCTAACGGTCTTTGTAACCATCGTAAAAACCTCTCAACATTAACCTGAACTTTTAAGAAGGCTTTGAAATAAGTACATTTTTTTCAATAAATAAAATGTAAAAGCTTGCTAACGAAGAATATAAATGCAACATTATTCGCTCGTGGCTGCAGCCTGACCCTTGCGGGCGCAACTTCCCAGCGTCCTGTGAAGAGAGTACATTTTGGTTTGTTTTTATGCTTTCATTAACTTGACCATGCACTTGAAATAAAGCGGGAAACACGATTATTTGTTGTATCCATTTTGTAGGAGAGTATCTTTTTAGTTGAATTTCAGTCGGACACGAGTGTAACCACCCCTAGCATACTACAGATGGCCTTGCGCCACATTCCGAGGAGGTAACTGTCTCCGTGTTCTTACTTCAACCCTCCTAACCCCTGCCCCAACCCTAGCCCTACCCCTTCCAGGAATTTAGCGTTAGGCCACCTGTGTAATACAAAGGGTACTCAGCCGTATCCTACCAAAGGACCTTGGTGAACGGTGGATACCCCTCCGTTTTAGAGAGCCGTTTAAAATTTTAAGCAAAACTACGCTTGTTTGAGTTCGCGAATTTCCTAATCGACATACTTTATGTTTTTCAATAGAAAATTCCCCTAATTCTCTGGGTGTTTGTGGAGAAGGCTTTTGAAATCCATCAAATACTGGGGTATGAACTGACTCCGTTGTAAAGTTTGAAGAAGGAAAAGAAACTACGGATACTGGACGATGAGAATTATCATGCGACCATCTTAAAACGGCTCAACTGTGGACTTTTAAAACCGGGTGGCGCATTTTGTCTGACTCCTTTATTTAAGGAGGGCCTAGTTCCTTAAAACACTCGCATTATGAATCCGGTTTTTGTCTACCCCCAGCAAGGCATAACTCAATCAGCACGCGCGTACAAGCGTAGTGGACATATAAGACTGGATATAAACAGTTATTTCTCCTCAATTCGATTCAACCAAGTGTCTGGGAGATTTTTATCCAGAATCTGGCTTGTTGCTGTGTTTAATTAGCCTGGGATTTTGCAGCACGATAATCAACTTTTAAATCTTACATAAACTTGTGTTTTCCAGCTGAAACCTTGTCTAAGAACTTTGGACCATTTCTCATGATTATTAGCGCAAATTGCATGTAGTTATTTTCTTCCTCCAGGCATAACAGACTGTATCGATAAACTCCCCATGCTCACCGTATTAATGTTTGAGTGAGTGAATATACCTTAGATGGAGTCCATGCGTCCACGTGTTTCCAGCTCGAATTTCATCGTTAAATCGAATTTGGCCAGAACACATAACTCTTTACGCACTGCCAATAGAAGCGAAGAGACGAGTCCCAGGAAGTGGTCTTGAAGAAGGAGACACGATCGCCGGGACAAGAGCTTTATTAGCCTGACGTTTCGGATTCCCACTCGCATCCATCATCAGAGACAAAAAAGCAGAAACAGGTGGTTGCTGCACAAGGGGCTGCGGTATTTACAGGATGCAGTAGCCATGCTACCGCATACCTATGAACATTCACGGCTCCCCCTTCATCCGGGATCGTCGCACTTGGTGTGATCACTGCTTGATGGCCGACATTCGAGTCGATAATTGCTGCAATTTCATCACGTGCGTTGGATGTTGGCGTGATGATTGCTCGACCATCTGACGCACCGACCCCGGTGTTGAGAAAAGTGTTCACCTCTGCGCTCCCCGCATGGCTTGTTACTCCGCCTAGGCGAAATTTTAGCCCGCAGTATAAAGTGGGAAGATCGTTGCACTTTTTGATGGACTGGGGGCCAGTAAACCATGATTCCAGTAGCTCCCGGCTTACGCGGTTGTCACCTCTTGCGAGAATTTCGGCCTCATCGAATTTGAATGTGTGGCCGGATCTCGTCGAATGAGCCGCAACTTGAGAGCTGGCGTCACTTATGCGCACCGCTGCCGCATGTTCGGCCATTCTCGTTCGGAGCTGTCTTCCGGTTTCTCCGACGTAGTTGCTTTGTCCGCAACTGCACCAGATCCGATAAACGACTCCAGACGTTTCTAGCCGTGGCAGTGGGCTTTTCGGTTTCATGACCAGACGCCTGATGGTTGCCTCCGGTCTGTGTGCCCCTCCAACCCCAAGTGGTGCGAGAAGGCGGCCTGTTTAATTGTGCTGTACATCGCAAAATGCATCATTAGTCACAAGAGAATCTAGGCTATTTTTTACCTCGTTAACTACAAATCCATTTCTTATTCTAGTTGTATCCTTAGGAACACTTGTTTAGCACATCTTTCTTGTAAGTAAGTCGACACCGCGTTGCACCGGAGTAAAGGGTTTATTGTTTTGGTCTTGAAGACGTCCTACTTTATTTGCTTAAAAATATTCCTGTGAATACGGGGAATGGGGTTCGGTGGACGATCATTGGTGCTTTGAGGTGCAATCGTTCGCTGCAGCCGACTGTCTCCTATAAGTAGGCGTTTTCTAGTAAGTAAAAAATGGCCATCCTCATTTTGTTCAGACCGGGTGTTGCCTAGAGAGCACTCATTTATCAGTTGTACAAAATACACAGGAGTTTCGAGAATAATGGAAATCGTGGGCTGCACTGGAAAGTAGTCTGTAGTTGGTCTTTGCAATCTCGACACGTGGACTTCCTCCTGGCGAGACCAGGCTTGATTTATACTCGACAAGTTAGATTTACTTGAAGCTGGGATTAATTTCGCACTCAGTATTTTGTGAGCACAACAATTAATCATATTGATTTCTGGTGGTTGAATTTACTGGACAATGTATCAAAAATAAAATAAAGTTATTCATAGGTTTCAGAGCGAGGCATTTATGATCAGGGAATGCTCGCGTGTTTCAAGAGGCAAGTCGGCAGAAGCATTTGAGACTGAAAAATCAAAATATCTCATTTTCGTTTATGAAGGGATTCGAGAATTTTGTTACTTTTGACGTAACTAGAACGCTGCTCTTTGATAAGAAGTCTGCTTGTGTGAGCGAAGAACCCAAAAGCGGTTAATCCGCCTTCGGACTTGGTCAGCTTCTGATTGGTTCAATGCGTCAGTCTGTCATTCAATTGACCTTCAGCTATGGTGGCCATCCATGGTTTGCTTCAAGCACTCAGTGGGTCATTTCGAAGATGACTGTGCTACTGATTGACCTGGTCGTGCTTACAGTCCTTCCTTATTGCTTGACGACGGATCTCGTCTTTCACGCCGAGAAACCCTCCGAATCCTCATGTTATTTCCAACTGGAGTGCAGTGGAAGTAAAAATCGTGGCGTAGAGAAAATCCGAGTACCCATTCGGTCCGCTGTGGGACCGCAAGGACCAAAAGGAGATAGAGGGCCGCGCGGTGTCCAGGGGCCTATGGGTCCACCAGGTAAGAGATGGTTATGCTTTTGATACTCCCACATGCGATTGTGGGATTAATGTCTGATCGAAGTTTTGTAAATTTTCAGCTCCAACGATTGATTATAGAACAGCGTGTGCCTCTAGAGTTCAAATGATTTCTTGAGTCACTTTCACAGTGTTTGCTTCAGTAAATGCAGGGGTACATGGCAGAAACCGAGTTTGAGGCATGTCTCAAAGTCATGTCCTCATATGAAATACTTTACCCAAATACTGTTTCCCATGTGCGTTTTTTCAAGATGTTTTTTTCTGAGGTGGCAAATAATTACAACTAAAAGGTTTCAAAGAATGAATAAAGTTCTTTAAATATTGCAGCGCTGTTCTTAAGGTAGCAGGGGGTACACAGAGGAGCATAGGACTGACGTTCACGGTCCTGGTCTGATTTTAGGAGGCATTTTGGAAGTTAGACTGACGACGACAATCCCCTATTTTAATGTGCACCTTTTCTGGACCCCAAGAGGAGATCAACCCTCCTGCCAACATGCGAAAACGACCTGACAATAAGTAAGCACTGTTGGATGCATAAGATTGGGCCTATTATTTGGACTAGATTAGTAATCGGACAGGTGATAGGCTGCGAAAAAATTACATGGCATCTGGGTGCGCCACAAAGGATACATAGGGCAGTCTAATTTTTGTGCACTTCTATGAGCACTAAAGGCCATGTGTGAGTGATTGTCGAAGAGAAGCGAAATAAGGCTTTTCCTTCCTACCGGGACTGAAATGATCCCAATGAGCCTTTGTTATAGTCATTTTCAACAGTTGGTGACCCCTATTTTGATTTAAAGCTCAGGTATTTCATTCGGCAAGTGTATATGGCACATTTAAATGAACAATGTAAAAGTCTTCGCATAAAACCTATTCTACCAGTTACGCCCTATGCAAGTATTCGGAGAATGTTCCAAAGCACACCACACATGCTGCGGCAGTCCATCGCTGCGTGCTAGCAATCTAAAAACATCTTGTGTTCTCCGCAAATGCCACGCACCTTATCATCTAAAGTGTTTTAATTAATCCATATTTTCTGATACCAATTTGAGGTTTTCAGACCACACGAGATTGTCTGCATTTTTTACTAACTAAGGAATAGAGCAAGCTCTAAAGTGCTCTTGAACTGGAAACCTAGTAAAATGGTCATGAAACCTATGAAATTACCATAGCAATTTTTGCTGCCATAGGCAGCCTGGCATGGTTGTTTAGGAAACTGTCAAACTCGTCGAGTGGGATTTTTCTTTAGAAAACAGCACTCTGTCAACCAGATGCATTATCTGACTTACCGGATCAGCTAGGTTTCGCTTTCAAAGAACATAAAATTCTAGGTATGATCCGTAGCGAAGATTAAGACTTCACAGAATGAATTAGATTGTTCCTATTTGGAGTTTGTTCAAGGCTCAAATTTAAGTGCTCACCGGGTGTACGATAGGCTTTAGTTTGCAAAATTATAGCGAATAATAACCCATTTACACACTGCGCGAAATTATCCTGATTTTGTTTAACCCCTGTTACTAAAAAAATCTCAAAACGAAAGCTGAGGCAAATTTTGCCGATTTTATTAATTTAGTTTTGTCAGATTGCTCACTTTTCATCCCCGTACCTGCCCCATGTGCAAATTTCCTAGGATTTAGGCGTGGTTTTAATTACTGGCTGTTTCAGGTATACTTGTCCCGTCAACTGGGGGGGGGGAGGCGGATGCTCAGTCATTGATTGTCATTTACCTTTTTACTTACTCCAAGTTCTCAAAAATTATGAGTACTGGCCCCAGAACATGAGGGCGGACAGAGATAACGATGGTGGAATTTAAAGGAGCAAGCAAAGCTTCAAATACTACCCCAAAATAATGCAGTTAGATGTGCTTGGAATTTCTTTACATGAAAATCTAAAGGAGAGAGAGAGAGTACTTTCGGTTTCCCCAGCCCTCTCTATAATCGTGAAAGTCTGCTGTTACGCTTGCAGACCTGATTTACTCTCAGTCGCAGTAGCGTTTAACCCATCGGTTGGGTTTTTTATAGCAACATCACTTTGGAAAGCACAGCCCCAAAAGCCGAACCAATAACCTGTTGATTGATGCCATGTGATTATTTACAGATTGTGTGCAAACGTCTGATAGCACATTCAATAATACCTGATTGAATTATGTAAACCTTACTAGGCGATCATATTTCCGAAAGACTTTAGGCCACATATGGGCATAACGGTTGATATAGATATCAAAAAAAACCACCCCGAGGCCAAAGTTTGGCTTCTTCTGCTTCGCAAATTAAATTTGTCCTAGTAGTCTGTTTGAGAGAAACAACGTAACTCCTCAGCGGGCATCACGCAATCCTCGTATTTGTTTGTTTTCCATTAACCTGAAAAATTGTCAGGAATTTCTGATTCAGGACGGGGAGGATTTTGACAGGAGACGGTGGGGCAGTGTTCAGCAGTTAACTCCGCCGCCGCCGGCGTGCTGCCGCCAGAGGACAGCAGAGGGGCGAAAAAGGAAGCACAACAGGGTTTCCGTCTGATAGATGGTCCGCTTGCGTGTTTGTCCAACACTACTTTGGCTCTTTCAATCTGGAGGCGCAGAAGGAGAGCAGACAAGCAGTCAACTTCAACTCCGAGCACTGAGGACTGCATGTCCAGCGTAGAAGTTTTAAACTAGAGCTAATTCACTTAAGACGGTTCTAATTTCAGGAACTTTGTTCACAAGTTCAGCCTTTCCTCACAATCGACAGTGCGAGGCCGGAACACTGGCAGTTGCCTTGATTTAAGAAGCTGGAATGGCAAAAAGTAAATTTACATCAATCCATTTCCCATATTCTTAAGTAAAGTCTGTTTGGGCTCACTAAAAGGCCATATAAGCAGAAAACCGGCCAGCCTAGTAAGAGTTGGAACCGTCAACGTCCCCCTTCTCCATTTACAATGACTGCCCTGGCTACTGAACTGCGGCTGTGCGAACAACCTATATCCTCTTTCCTTTGACTCCCGTGACGGTCTGACGACTGCGATGCTGTGATTAAAACACCAAACCGTCTAGATGCAGAAAACTGGTTGAAATTCCTCACAGTTTCACGTTTTCGATATCATTTCAATCCTGAATGCTTCTGATCATTAGAAAATTTAAACGATCAGAAGTTTCCGGCAAAACCTTAAATTAACCTGTGAGCTTGTGTAGACCCCTTGAGGGCAGTCTCCTGGTGCCAAACTACCAATCATCAAGACCAGAATATGAACAAAAGGGAAACTCGCTCTTCCGCACCAAACTTGAACATTCTCAGGCTGAACTGTAATTTCGAAGTCAAGATGACTGAGATTCGGTGACTAAAACAGTAATTTTATCCGTCTGCAGCGTTGGATTGACTCCCGAGTCCGCCATTAGAAACAACAAGAGCGGGGTTAGATTTCGTGAATTGTATGATTTGGAGTTTTTCTGCAACCATAAACATTGAGGAATTAGCTCTTGCACGTCGTAGGTTTGGTGTTTTAACCAAACTCCGCTTCGCTTAAACGTTTTAAGCGCTGTGTCAATGAGTATCACAGAATGTAGTTATGTTATGTCTAAAATGTAGGTCGACGAACAGCATAAACCATTTCTTTTTGAATGATTTTTATCATGCTGACTTACTAACAACTTCACCGGTGCTAGTGGTCGAACTACAAAATGTCGCACGAAACACACTTTCCACATTGTGATAACTAAGCTTCCTTATTGAATATTATTGCTTGGACCTACCAATGGGACCATTTTACCACATGTGTTCCTTAGCATGCATCTTCTTCATGAAGGTCCGCCAGGTCCGATCCCGAAAGCCTCTCGCATGTGGTTGCCTCGTCCAGCGGACCTACAGATAGCTTTCTACATTGGCCTCTCGGAGAACATTGAGGAACTACCGAAAGGGCAAAATTGTCCCCTCATATTTGACAAAGTGATGCTTAACATGGGCAACTTTTACAACGCCACAGATGGCGTCTTCACCGCCCCCGTAGACGGAGTGTATACTTTTATGCTGGTCGTCTCAGCGCACAGCTACAAGAAGGTGAGCTTTTAGGGTGATATTTCTAAATTTGCACGACGGTACACGAAATACTATATTATATTGGCCATCCCCGCAATTTCGAGTATCGGGTGTTTACTGGTTCAATTAAACTATCTTCTGTTAAAGTCGAAGGGGTGAATAAGAATCGGTCGCTGGAAGCATTAATCGCTTCGGCGTGCTGACCGGTTGCCAAATTCATCTTCAGAAAATCAGTAAAGGAAACTCTGAAATTGATTCCTGGTTTTGTCTACTGTGGATGTGCACATCGATGCTTATGGCAGTCATCCACAGTGTTTCATGGTAGAACCGCCTGTTTTTTTGAACTGCGAGCAGTTTTTATTGATTTCTTGCATATGCCTGACGATAGGCGAGAAAATCATGCAAATAGTGGATGGTTTATTATTTTCACAATGGTCTCTCCCTTACCACATTTAGCAGACGAAATACCCGCGAGGCGCACCCTCTCACCGTTTCCGTCGGTGCAAGTGTACCTGCGTCGTACACCGTTATTGTTATTTGACAGAAAAAGATCTCTACAATGTTGGTAGTAATACAGCGGGAATTTGCTGTTGGATGACAACTTGCTTCCTTCAGCGCCGACCTGACTCGCGAGTTTACACCAGAATTTGGAAACCATAGTAATCTGGTAGTCCAAAAGCCATTTTAGGCGTGGCTGTAGGAACAGCGATTGCATGGATGTCTCCATTCATCTCTCCAGCACATTATTTTAGGGTCCAGGGTTATCCCGGACGGCGTCTGAAGCTTTATTTGCCGGCAGCTACCAGTCATCATGTCGTAAGATCGCTGTAGTTTGGGACCCCCTCGTAGGTAAACAATTTGTCAGCCCAGTGTTCACGCAATGTTCACAATTCGAGGTATGATCTCGGCATTGAGACTGTTTTAGTTACCATAACACACTTAAATAGCACTTCCTTGGCTGTGTTACTGATTATGAGTTATTAATCCAAAAGCCAATAGCAACGTGCATGACCTCCACAAGCAAGGTTAGTCCTAGTGGGCGAAGCCGAGTTTTTTGCGAAAATTACAGAGTGGGTAAGAATTCCGGAATTTGCAAGTTCAAAAGCATGTATATTTACATCCAGGGTTGAGAAGTGGAAGGTGAAATAGAAAAAGTAGAGAACGGTGGTACTTGAACTCCTCCTCCCTATTAATTGCCTGCAGGTCCGCCTACAGTCCAGTATTTGTTAATCTGATGCCGTTATTCTGGACAGGTCTCCTGTCTGTTTAATGCAAAATCAATGAACCTTCTCGAAATTCTGGAGAGGCGTAATTTTAGGTTGCCGCTGCGTTGGTGAATTTTGGGTAGTTTAATTAGCCCCTGGTTTAACAGTGGATTGATCTAAGAATTGGCTTCCGGGAAGCCTGTTTGGGAAACAATGATGTAAAAGAAGCTGTTTGTTAGAAATACAAAAATGTTTTTAATAATTTCCTGCGGATTACTTTGACAGTCCTCCAGGTGTTTCTCCTAGAAGTTATTCAGCCGAAAGTTCACTAGATGTTCTTTAACTACCATTAGCGTCCCTTAAATGAGTCGTTCTTTTCTAACTGGAAGAGCATTGTCATTATACATTCCTGCTTTCACCTATTTTCTAGGTTTCCAGATAAATTGCACGGATGGAACTGTTAATAAAGTGGGTTTTCACTAGGAATAGTCTCTGCTACCGAAGAGGCATTTGCGATAGGATTAGTCTGTGACAAGGTCGCTCTAGGGGTTGTCGTCTCAAAAGATCTGGCCAACTTTCCTGTTTTCGTTTGTAATTATACGGAATCAGGACTTATCCGACAAAGTACCACCTTTCATTTGAAGGACATGACTACGCTGTCTGTAAACCATAAAAATTGCGATTAGTGGTCCGAAGTCGGTCAAAAGTTTAAACCATCCGAATCAACGTGAAAGCAAAAAACACAAATGAGCTCTTGACCGCCAGTGAAGACCTGCGTCTGTTATTTTCCCTTTTTTATGATTTCTGGTCTATACCTTGACACTACAACAGTCTGAATTTTGAAGACCTAAACTCAAGTGCTTGGATTATTGATTCCTGCCACGCATTGGACGTCAGTCTTGTGAGTTTATATATGGCAAGACAAAAGGGTGTCGGTCTCGGTGTGGGCGTCAGGACAGAAAACTCTTGGGTGTACACCAGAGCTTTGTCGGGGGTGGGGAGAGATATCAAGTGGTTCTCGAGAAGTCGCTTTGGGAGAAGTCCCCCCACAGTGTCGCTCAAATGAAGCAACGAGCTTTCCCATCGAGACCATCGGAAAATACCTTAAAAAATTGTTTAACTCCGTATTTTGAACCGATTATTCACCTTAGACATTGCAACTGCACTAGAGATTCTCAGTTGTGTTTATCTGTCAAGGGAACGGTAAATTTGGATTTTTATGTCGTTAAAATCTCGAGGCTACTCTCTGATTCCAACTCACTAGGCAGGGACAAATACTCTTTTTCTGCTAAGAAATACGTTCTGAGGCTCTTTGTATAGAGCGGCTTGAACTTCTACGAACTAACTTTAAATAAGAAGTAATTACCTTTTGGTGCAGATTGAGAAAATATGGAACCCAGACACCCAGAAAACGTAAGTGCTGGGGCGAGAGTCAGCCGCCAACCTTTCAAAGTCGCGTGGAGTACTTCGATCGTTCATGTTGACTGGGAATATCAGTAGGCTGCACGATCATTCAATATTTCCTCATAGGTGACTCGCAGGGGGACTGGTGCAGCCTAAGTTACGTTTTTGGTCAGAATCCAAGGTAAACGTCTTTGAGGTACAGAAGATGGATTGTAAAGATGCAACTCGACATGGTCCGAAATATTAACAAGTAGTTGACGATGAAAATTCGAACTCACGAGACCAGAACTGTTAGGCCTCGCCTATAGTCATTATGGTCACCAGACGCCTGTTTATGAACTAAGTTTTGTCAGGAAATTGCGCCTACGCTAAGAATTCAGCTCGTATGGCAGACAGAAATAGTTAAATAAAGAAAATGAACTTTAAGCAACCAATTTCGCAGCCGAAGATATGGAGGTCAACGGCAATACATTATACTTTTCTAGAATGAAGCCATACTATGAAGGTATTCTCTTGTAGTCTTCCAGATTCTTAAGCAACATCTACATTGCCCACAGCGAACGTGTTTCCAATAGTCAAAAAGAGCTTCCTGTTGCATTTCTTCGAAACTTATGCAGGTTTAAACCTAACCTAACTATGACCTGTGAAACAAAGTTTACAGGTACAAAAGCATCTTTTTGACCGGTTTTGCCGTGTTTCTAACTCGTATTTTCGGGACAAGTTATCACATAGGCATCCAACGGACGAAACGCATCTCACCATTTGAAGGGTTTTCTAGTGAATAACTGGTCCAGTTTACTTCCTCTTATGAAGATGGGACTTCCATGAACTAGGACCTAATTATCAACGAACAGTATACTCCGATTCTTGTAACATGCTGTGCAGCAGCAAAAATCTCGGAGAAAAGAAATTACATTATTTGATTGGCAAGTAAAAGGGTGATCAATTTTATAAATGTACTAAGATAAGAACGTTACAGAGGAGGGACCTGTTCGAAGAGTTTTCGGGGAGGTAAGCTTCATGTGGGAACATCCTCAACGTGGACTAGTCAGTTGCGAATGCTTATTTTGCCCTATGCATATACGCCGCTATGTAACTATCGTTATTATGCAGTGAAGATGTTTCTATGATGATTTTTTATAGCTTGAGGCAAAATCCAGCAAAATACTGCTAGAAATAATAGAATTCACCCGTTCGTAACGTCGTTCAGCAGTTAAAACTTTTTGAACTAATCTGCGTGACGTGTTTAAAGAACGCAAAGTGAATATGCCCTTTAAGAAATTTAAAGTATACTGATTTTTGTGAATGAGACTAGAAAAAAATACATAAAAATCTTAAAGGTCTGTTTCGAAAAGTCATACTTTATTCTAATCGTTGAGTAAATAAACGTCATGTCTGTTATGGAATTGAGCATTTATTTCTCCCAATTCAAAACCGGTCGGTAGATGGTTGTTTTATTCATTTTATCTCATTTTCCTGATGTCGAACTACGAAAATACAATGCGGAATAGATCGCACCAAAGCAAACCCCTTCGTAAGCTTCTTAAGAAGATTCTACCTTTTCGGACAACAGTTCTGAACGCGTTTTAAACCACATCGAAGTTGATTCAGAATGGGATATCTACTGATCGCTTTTAGGCTAGCTACTGTAATGACTGCATTGTAATCGTGTTCTGATTACCCAGTCCCTGATCTGATGAACAAAATCTTCGTGAAAGAGAAAGTTAGTATATAACGAACATCCGCAGCCATTATAAAGCTATGGAGTAAGCCCGTCTTCATTGTATTACAACCGTTGCCTTCCAGTGTCACCAGCTCCAAGTGACAAATATTGCGAAATGGTGTGTAACTGGAAACAGCTCTGTTTCCGATGGTTTTATTGCCGCAACGGATTTAATTTTTCAACTTCCTTCCCCCTCCCCCACACACACGCAGGCTAGTGCGTGGCTGATGCATAACGGTCAAAAAGTTCTTTTCGCCTGGTGTGAAAGCAAACCCTGGGCAAGCACCACCAACCAGGCCATCTTGTTCGTCAAGAAGGGTGACAAACTGTGGCTTCAATGCAGTGAAGAGGCCTTTCATCTCTACGGCTACATGTACAGCAGTCTCTCCGGCTTTCTGCTCTTCCCGTTGTAGTTTATACTCTAAAGCGTGCAAATCAACACGGCCCAATAGAAAAACCCCAGCATTTCACATAACTCTTTCTCCTCTTAACATATGATTTTTGAGTGAGTGAGACACGGAACTTTGGTTACCATATTCAGAGTAGGATTGCCGGTCTCAGCTCTTTACCATGATCCCCTTTTTGCCGTGTTTTGTCTCTTCATCAAGGTCGCCATCCCTCTATTGTAACTTATTTTTACCTCCACGCAAAGTATTCATTCCAGGCTTGTTGCTTCGCGTAGTCAAACACCATCATTGATCTGAGAGTACTAGGATTACGCTCCAACTCGTTTCCCTTCCCTTGCACAAATGTCAAATTACAAATTAAAGTCGTCCGAAAAAAGGTGAGGTCTGCGGCAAAGTCCAAATCCTCTGAAATACTCTCAACTGATACAGTACTATAAATACCTATTACAACATATAAACTGAGCCTAGCTTGCCATTGAATAGCAATTTTCTTATACGATACTGAAGTTTGCAACCCGTAGCACTGCATTAGAAGGAAAAGATAAGGGGGTAATTTAATCGGGTCTTATCCACAAATATTAAATATGGGGGAGAAAATAGGAGCAAAAAGCAAATCAAAAGTCTCGGGAGTTTCGTAATATACGTGAACGCACTTTCACCAAGCGAACAATCCTCCACAAGTTCGGGTAGTTATTTTGCTCGATTTTGGTCTAACTGGCAGTCATGAAAACATTCCCAGTGTCCTCATATGTTGCAATATGATGCAGCTTTGTGAAATAGCTCAAGTTCGCAGCTCGCTTAGTTTAAAGTCAGGAGTCGGGGAAGCTGTACGCACGCCGTGCGTGTGCGATTGCAGTTCCATGGTCAGGGCGGTCATCCGGCTACATTCGTGGTTGTTTTGCGCTGAGGATGGATTCGATGGGCAGGCATAAGGGAAAGGCGTGCCAGGCGGGCTCCTCCGTGCTGGCACCGACCGTTATCATGTCCCAACTTTTAAAAAAACTTTACGTACTATCTATAGAAGCCGCCACATTCGAACGGTGTAAGGACTCGGTTTTGTATGATAAAGAAGATCGAAGCGTTTGGCCAAATCTTCATCGAGAATGCTTAACCTGTGCTAAGCTTCCTGTCAAAAGTACTTCCTTTGCGGCTCACGTCCGCTTTTTGCGAGGTTCCAAAGAAATAATGATTAGGTTTCGTTCTTCCTCTAGAAAAATGGTTAAGTATCTAAAACATACAAGCACAGACAAGGCGCGGCTTCAAAGCTACGGTATACAGCTCATAAAGGAGAAATTGGGGTGAAGCCTGCGTGACAGTAAATTTTAGTTTGCGCTACTGATCCGTACTGGTCCTAAATGGCTTCCTGCATCGGAGGTCTGCGCATTATTATAGAAAAGTCTTTTAGGTCCTGCACCGAACGGTCTTTCTGAATTGGGCCGTGGAGAGTTATGCATATTCCCAGCCAAAAGTTGTCGGATTTTTCAGCAAGTATAACCAAATTCTCCAAAGTGTGAAAAGTATGCGGTCTATCTCAGCACTGTTTGTAAAGCCTGAAAAGAGAAAGCGCATGTGAAGTCTTTAGCAGTTTCTTCAGACCCGAAATTGCACCGAATTAATGACTTTGGGGAACAGTAAAACAGATACCCTTCTGCCACAAATACAGTCCACTAAATTACACTTTTTTCGTAATTAATGGCCAAACATAAATTCGTCTGAATATCCTTTAAAAACTATTCGACGCCCTGTTTATTGAAAGATTTAATTTTAATTGCTTTCCGAAAACAACTGAAATGCTTTATGAGTCAAATTCTCCTAAAAATACGAAGGTAGTTAAAATATAAAATCGTGACACCTTCAAACGTTAGGAACAAAACATTCCTTTCTTCATTGTTAGTTTGTACAAAAGACTAACAAAATATAGCAGATATTTTGTTTAGACATTAACAGAAAGTTTGGGGACGGCTGCGAAATCCCAGTGCTACTTATCTGACCCGAATTCGTACCAACTAGCGAGCTGGCGAGAACGCCCAACTACAATTTTCGCCCGAGGCGAAATTTCAATGTAACAACCTCTGTTAATTAGGTCTTCGGGAGGGTTTGAAACAAGGATTTTGGCTGTCGCAGCGAAAAAAAGTACGCGGTTGTTGCATTGACTTAGCCACAGGCTAAAGAAGCAGTTGGTTTGATTTAGCAGTTCGACAGTCTCATTAAACATGCTGGCATTCTGACTCAAGAAAAGATGTGTCGACCGCTGTTTCGGAGTTTGGCCTGTTGCCCACTAAATACCTCGAGCTGATTAGCCCCAGTCTTCTGTTAGAGCATGTTTATCATTTAATTCGAATCAGTCTATATGTCCATGATCGACCAAAAGTCCGTGTGAAGTTGAACTTATACCTGCTTCCCAGCGTTGTCCGTTAAAACTGATTAAAGCCCCTATCTGTGCCTGTTAAAGCACAGTTGGATTATGATTACAACTATCAGTGGGCAAGTTTAGAACAAGCACTTCCATTGAACATAGTTTGCGAGCCAACGGTCATGGACTGATCTTACTGTCGATTGCTTAAGCCCAAATTTTATTCCAGGAAGAAGATCCCTCGATGACAGTGAAAAAAAATTTAAAAACCGCAAACTACCAAATTTGGCAGTGAGGCGTTAGAAAATATTATAAATCCGCTATTTCTGATTGGCGCTTCATACGCAGGAAATACAGCGTGATAGACACCGAACACTAAACGTACTTTTCGGAGAATAAGAATTGGTGTCATTTGATAAACGAAATTTTCCAACAAAGACTTCTAAGGCAGAAAGAGCAGCTCAAAATCTTCATTAAAGAACTCCGGCAACCTAGAATCTGTCATCCGGGAATCCATGTGGAAAGCTTTAGAAAAGACTGAAAGAAACCCTCACCGATCTTGTAAAGATCACATGACAAGTGGTGGAACGAGGACAGCAGTAAAGTCCTGCGAAAATCGCCTCGACACTGAGTGAGAGAAGACGCATTTAGCAAAATAAAATCCAGGGCGAAATCAACATTTAGCAAATGGAGTCTATTTATTAATCCAGATACCACCCGCCCGGCGTTTTTACGGTTAATAGATTTGGAAAGAGCTTTCTGCAGCAGACGAAGTAGCAACCACGTCTCTTGGAAGTGGAGGTTTGACGCCTGGTACACAGACGATCCTACAAAATAGTTCATCGTGCTTGACAGCATGCCCTAACCACGTTGTCTTACAAGCCGAATACTCGTCGCAAGGCCGGGTTAAGGATTAGTGCACTAAATCTGTGGCAGAAAATTGAACGTCATTTGGAAATTGAGCTTAACGGTAAGGCGCTGGGGCGCCGGGATACGATTGAAACGTCAAATGATGAGCATTTCAGCCAACTTGGCTGAACAAAACCGAGAAGCACATAGTACCTGCTCGGGTGCGATGACTAGTTCTGTATTCCCAACGCAGAGTACAAGATGTTAATATTGGCACCACGCATCGCGAACGTGATCCGGCTGCCTTCCCAGCCATGGATCGCGTAACACTAAGGTCAGTCACAAATAAGTTAGTTCATTATTACCCGAGTCGTGTCAATGACAGCTCCTGTCGCTGTGATTTTGAAATCTCTCGAAGTGGGCAAGACTTCGTAAGTGATTTGTGACTCTGGACGGGTAAGGGTCCTGCTCGTACGTCTTTATACTGGAATAGTTGACAGCACACTACTACCCTTGCGCCCTGTAATTTAGGGTCTCTTACGAACAAAAAGTACCCTATTTTAAGAAGTATAGACTATTACCAGGCACTCCACAATATGCGGACCCCTTTTTGCTTTTATTGGGATACTAAGGTAGTGAACTGTTCTGATTATACTGGACGAGTACACGACCGTTCACACGTGGGTAACAGGAGCTGCCAACTTTGATAGGCATGTAGCGGCCTACCAACTACATCCTATAAACATTGTAACACATAGGCAATGCACTACCCTTACCTGGCTCTGCCTTTAATTATGGATTCGGGTGAGAATCCGAAACGGAAGACTAAGAAAGCACTTGTTCCAGCGATCGTGTCCCCTTCTCTGTGACTGCTCCCTGGAGCTTGCCTCTTCGCTTCTATTAACTAACCGTTATATGACTGGCGAGATTGCTGTCTACTTCGCTAGGCTGGAATATTCGCGCACTACAAATGCCTGCTTATCTCTTGGGAAACAATTAGTCAACTGATGCTCAGGGAAGTGGCACACGTAAGGCCGATTCGATCGCGTACTCATGCGGTTTGGTAGGGTTAACTCTATGTCAAAATCGGGTTCCAGGTGCACTGCTGATATGCGTGGCGAATGTGGCTCCGACTATGCCCTAGCCAAATTACAGCTCGGGCGTGCCGCCAAAAGATCGAGAAGCACAGGGACGTGAATCATGAGTCGACTTAAGGACGAAAACATTAATACAGGACTCCCCTCGACATTTGCCACCGCCCTGAACATCTTCGGTGAAATTGGACTAACTCATTTAAGAATACCTCCAGATTTGCCTTGTAGGTGTTAGTCAACGGTCGGCGTGGTCACAGGCTGGATTTCAGAAGCTGATGACCGGATGCCTCCAGCCCCTTTAGCTGTCCGTCTTCACATATATATGGACTTTATACGCGTGCGTTAAGTTACTGCTCGCACCGTAAGTCAGTGATGAGTTCTCGGCTAGAACTTTGGCTCTATTTCAGCCAAAGGCGCAGACCAGGAGATCTGCTGGTTTCTGAAGAGCCGGTCCAGAAATCCCCCAACCTCAAAATTCGGGGGGGGGGGCAAGATGCGGCGGCAGCATCATACCGATACATCAAACTTTGCTGAAAGGGAAATGTTGCCCCTTTTTCGAACGCAGCGGGTTTGGTCCCCTCAGCAGCTGTCTATTTGTATGATGCATCAGGTCGGAACAGGATTATGACTACGACAAATCGCGCAGTGCGCATATATGTATTTTACGTCTAGATCGAACTGGATAGCAGCAAATCTACTGATGGTTTATGTTCTCCTGCAGAAGCATAAATCACACCTAAAGAAATTTGCTGATTAACCACAGGACCTTCAGATCCGAAGTTGGGATATGTGGACTGTACCCTTACACTTGAAGCATATTTTTCCGCTAACCCGTAAAAACGTCTACTACATACTAATAGCGGCCTCTATAGCATTGGCCCTCGTGTTCCCATTCGTCCTCCCAATTCTGGACGAATTCCGTGCGAACCTCCATCTGGCTGGTTTCCATGGATCAGTGCATACCGGCTCGACAAACACTCAAATATCACCACAGGTACCGATAGCCCTCCTCTCCACGTTACAAGGATTTTAACTCTATTCAACAGGACTCTCTGTGACTAAAGATATCGCACAACTGTAGCCAACCAAAGTTGCCATGACTATATACATTTGAATAACAGAGAATAAGAAGGCAGCGTCATTTCGCAAATACTGTCAGGCCACATAATAAAGCCGGTTCTCCTGCACGCACTGACGAGATATTTCGAAGTCACTGTAGGCAGTAACCCGCACATTATGGATCCAGACAGTCCTAACAATAGAAGCGAAGAGCCGAGTCCCAGGAAGTAGTCTTGAAGAAGGAGACACGATCGCCGGGACAAGAGCTTTATTAGCCTGACGTTTCGGATTCCTACTCGAATCTATCATCAGAGACAAAAGAGCAGATCATTGCTTGCAATGATCACACCAAGTGTGACAGTCCCGGATGAAGGGGGATGCCGTGAACGTTCATAGGTATGCGGTAGCATGGCTGCTGCATCCTATAAATACCGCAGCCCCTTGAGCAACAACCACCCGTTTCTGCTCTTTTGTCTCTGATGATAGATTCGAGTAGGAATCCGAAACGTCAGGCTAGTAAAGCTCTTGTCCCGGCGATCCTGTCCCCTTCTTCAAGTCCTAACAACATTGAAGTGGACAGTCTCTTCGCAGACATGCGACGTACTGCGTACTGAGAGGGCAGGTTGCGAAAGTGGTGCTTTTCAAATTAACGGTGGCCACTTTCGTATTCGCAGTCGGAAATTCTTTAGCCAGTCCTGGGATATGGTGGAGTCCCACCCGACCGAGTCTCCATTACCCTAGATCAAGTTTGTCCAAATTTGTGCCCCCTCTGACATCTCCCAAGAAGTGAAGCTGACCTGTTTTAACGACAGTCTTTACCTGACTTCCCTGTATCGCTTCAATTTCACTAAACGTGCAGTCGAAACAAGCCGGCCCTTGTTACTGTGAAACTCCGGTCCTTTGTGCGCTGACCGGACGGACGTGGCGTGCGTAGATGAGCTGCCTGACATTGCCAGTCCGACACCGCCCCCGCGGTCTTCTTGACCCTGCCATTACACCAGACTCGGATGGAGGAGAAAGGCGTGTGCGGTAGATTCTGTGCAGATCTTCACAAAATAGTTCACGCTTAAGTCACCGTCCCTGCGCCAGACATGCTGCGGGCCACACAGTGGACAGCCGTTGTTTGAGGCGGTCCAACTGTCACCTGACTTCCAATGCTGGATGACTGTCTTTGGTTTCCTGCCAGCAACTATTAGCTTTACGTTGTCTTCGGAAGCCCTGACGAGTAATTTTGGCAAAGGCTAGCGAAGCATTGTCCGGTAATATGGTTTAGCCATAGTAGGGAGGTTCAAGGTTACAAACCAAAAATATTTGCTGCTCACTATTTTTAAGTAGACAGTTACTTTGCAGAACACTAGGGAGCATGTCCGTCCTCGGTATGCGACATTGGAGGCTCCTCTCAGAGGGAGTATAATAGCCACTGAGCAGTCTATACACAGAAAGTGCCTTGGAGGGGTCAACCACAATTCGAAGAGACGGTGAAGACCCCACATCTTAGACTCAAGCATAAGACTCACTGGAAAGAATTGTTTAAGCCAAGAGTACGATCTTTCAAGACAGAAAATTTTAAAACACCCAGAAGGACGAATCGGCTAGCCGCCCACTACAGCCACTCCGTCTTTTTGTTACTTAGTTTCTCCCTCAATACCTGCTGGGTGATACATTCCACGTAAATCCGGTATGTTGCGCGGTTTACCGTACTGGCAGTACAGATATTAGGTAAAAGCCCAGACATGTGCTACGCCTATATTCTGCCGCCGCATGACGCAGCTGAGGGTGGTTCAACTCATTAGTGGATCCCCCAGCGACACGTGCATACTACCGGCTGTCTGTTGACAGTTTATGAATATTACGCGATTGTCTAACTGAAGCTAACGTACTTCCGCCCAATTATTCATACCAGCTTCCCGCCTGAGCCTATTAGGCTTCAACCCGAATGATTTGCTCCAATCTGCCGCATTAACAGCTAGGCAGATTAAAAAACTGATAGCAATTTGGCTCGATCTGCCACCTTGTTTGATGCATACATAGGCACTGTACAAAGCTAATGGCCACACAAAGTAGGCCTCAAAGCGAGATGTAATCTTTGCAAGAGCAACGGACTATTCGAAGCCCTGGCAGAAAAGATGGCCAGTCACAGCGCAGGGGAGTTCTAACCTTCCTGACCACAGACGCGAATTTATTCCAATCCTTTTCTAAACCATTATAACCTGACCACCTGCAAGGTCCAAAAGCCAGCGTCTGGCTGTCTGCTATCGTCACGCGCCAGTCTCTTGTAAAGTTTCTTAGCACGAAAATACGACCAGCGTATTACTCAATGAACAGCTGCTCAGTAAATGTTCATGGTACGGAACGAACTGGCAATGACCAAGCTAAAAGTAAAAGAGAAGAGAATGAAATGAGGAGAGAAGATATTCACCCATGTGAGGAGAGAATGAAATTGCCACCAATTCCAGGAACCAAAACTACAGGCGGGTAACACGTTGAATCGGCTAACAGAGGAAAGCGAGAAACGGGTAGTATTTGAATTTATTAGCAAGAAAGTCATGCAGGTAAGCGCTGTAATGCACTCAAAGATACCTTAAAAGGTTAGACGTATTCCAATCCTTGTAAGGGTATAAAGCAAGGGGAGTGACGGGAAACCTCGGAGAGGATTGTCTTGGACGTAAGTACATTAAGCGCAAAAGAAACAAGGGGCGGAAGCAAGTCCTTCACGTGCGTCGAAAAAGCGCCTCAGGAGGAGACAACGGAACTGGTTAACCACCAGATGACCAGAGGCTGAAAGAGAGCGGCGCATACCAAGACGTAGGTGCCCCGTCTGGGGTTCAAGTAAGGCTGCTGATCAGCCTGTGAAAGTACTTGCAGCCTCAACGACCTTATCTAAAAGTGCAAAAGTGGAATATAAAAATGTTACTCATTTTAATTCCGATTATATCCAGGAAAAGAACGCTACTAGTATCACACAATATACCGGGTTCTTAGCTTCCTTAAATGTGCCTTGTACGGCTTTTGTCTTGCTTGATCCAGCTCACCTCAATAAAACCAAAAATTGTAACTCCATGCGTGATGACCTGCGTCCAACCTTTTCTCTAACAATAAAAACCGAGTAAAGGGGCTCTAATAATCACGTCCACATCTTGACGGACTCTGTCGAGTCAGGTTCGAAAAAGACCTCTTCACCACCTTCAATTACTCAGCGGTGTCGTACTAAGAGCAATAAAACAGAACCCATAGGCAGGAGGAAGAAGAACGTCTCAAGACGACCTTAGCTCTCCATCTCGGATAACCTGCGTGTTGACTGTCTCATTCAAAAAGAATTCGGTGTACTTCACCAAAAGAATACTTGGACTTGTCTCCCATCCGCGCAGCCCAGCATTCATAACCGCACACGCGGACTGACCGATTAGCGCGGACTACTGCGGCAAGATATCACGTCGAGTCAATCGGTAACGGACTCTTTGTATTGGCTGCTGAGATATGCGAACGTTCCTGGACCCTGGTACCTAAAGTCTGACCACATGCAGCCTTAATCAGCACAACGTGGATGTCTGCTCTGTCTGAAATTCGACTTCCTGACTCAGGCTTTCGGGCAGCAAAGATCCCTGGAGTCGACTCACACTTCACCCTGTACCACGGCCGCCCACGCGGCTATTCTGGTAGAACGGTGCGGCGACCGCCCTACGGCAAAAAGCGAAACTTGCCTTACTTGCCTGGGAACCAGTCAGTGACCGGATAGCTTGCGCGCGATTGAAGGGTCAGTTCACGAACATCTCTATCGTCTCTGTGTGTACGCACCAACTTCAGCTGCCGAACAGCGCGATAAAGAGGTCTTTTATTTGCAGCCGCAAACGTTATTCGACAGACCCCCTCGCCGCGATCTGTTGACTGTTGCCGGTGATCGAAATGGTCGGACTTGACCTGGCAACTACACAGTGACCTTATTGGCCGTTTTGGGCTTGGTTCGCGGTGTGGAAATGGCGAAACTGATGAACTCCGCTGATCAGAACTGATTGCTTGTCACCAACACGTGCTTCCGGTATCGCAACAAACGTCTGCTGACCTGGTATTCAAACAACGGTCATACGGCCAGTCAGACTGAATACATTCTAGTCAGCTCAAGATTCCGCAGTTGGGATCACGATAGCAGACCGATGCGTGGTGACGAGACTGGTGACGCTCATGGGTCGGACCACGTCTTCGTTTGTACACGTTTGGAAGTTCACCTCTCATCCGTGCTAAAATGCCACGTCCTAGACGCCTTGATGTCGCAAAAATCCGGCAAACCAGCACTGCTGATGCTCTGAGCAAAGAAATTCGGTCATGTTTTACGACACTAGCCGACAGAGAAGGCGGTAACCAGTGGTGGTTACTGAAAACGTCAGTCTATGGGGCAGCTGAGAAAATCCTTGAATATGAACAGCGACACTGCAGTGACTGGATCTGCGGAAGAACCCTGCAGTTGTCTGCTCAGACGGTTCGAGCCAGGTCCTGCAATGATGATTCCCTCCGCCAACTTCGGAAGATGACGGCAAACGCGGCCAGGGATGACCGGAAGCAATATTGAACTGAAATAGGCTCAAGCATCCTTGTACCTATCCTCAGGAAGGGAGATAAGACGAGATGCGAGAACTACCGCGGCATAGGCCTCATCGACATTGCTGTGAAGATCTTCGTTATTGCCCTTTCCATGCGATTCCAGACTGTGCGTGCCTCGAGGGCGAGGCCCAACCAAGCCCGATTCCGTGCTGGACGTGGATGTGCGGACCAGGTATTCACACTGAGACGCATTCTCGAATTCCGCCGCAGATACCAGCAACCGACGACCATCTGTTGTGTTGACATTGCCGCCGCGTTTTATTCCGCCCATCGTGAGTCTGTATGACGAATAATGGCACTAAATGGTGTACTGCCAAAAAGAATCGTCATGACCAAGGCCTATTATCGCTCCACCACTGACCGAGTCCTGGTGCACAACCATTTTTCCCAACCGTTTGGCATTCGGTCTGGCGCCTGACAGTATTGTACCCCGTCGCCCATTCTGTTCAAATACTCTATTGGCTGGATTCTTGGGAGGACCCTACGCGAAAGTGACGGTGTTGAGTTTGCATCTCGACACCGGCTGACTGATCTCGACTATGCTGACGATATTGCCTTAATTGCTCCAATTTTTGGTGATCTGCAGTCTATGGTGTCACAGGTGAATGAGGTCGCTAAATCGGTCGGTTTATCCAAAAAAGCTGGGAAAAGTAAAGCGTTTTTAAGCTGTGTCCCTGACCAGGAGATGGCACCTCTCGAAATTGATGGCTGTCAACTTGAAGTAGATGGTTTTAAATACCTCGGGGCGAGGCTGCTGTCCAGTGGATAGAGTAAAAACGACATTGTCTCCCGAAATGATGCCGCCCGTCGGGTCTTCCCAAGCCTTAGAAAATTTCAATGCTTCCGACGCAGTACCTTCATCTCCACCAAGATTCGCGTGTCCGGTCAGTCCTTCCGTACGGTTGTGAATGCTGGGCTGTGCACTTGGGAGATGGGCGAAAACTGGAGTTATTAGACCACCACTACTTGAGGACTATACTCTGCGGGAAGTAAAACGACTTCGTCTCAAATTAGACAGCCCGTACTCGCTGCGACAACATCGCAAGGGTAACCCAAACCATCCAAGAAAGACGAATGAGGTGATTTGGGCATGTTCTTCGTCGTCCACCTCAGGAGTTCGGTGTTAATGCCCTCGATCCGGCACCATTACTTCATTGGTGGCGACAAAAAGGAGGTCAATTCAAAGCCTACCTCGACACAGTCCGTCAAAACATAGAGGTGGTTCTTGGACCTCCGGTATTCGGTCTCCGTTGTTGGCGAGAAGAATGGATTGAACTGTCCAGATCTGCTGCCGTGGATCGTCACGCGTGGAGAAATACGGTTCGTGATATCATGAAGGCCGAGTAGATCAGGTATGATCGCAGCCGTATCAAGCACAAGTACGTCGAGTCCACAGGTAATTTTTAAGAATTGCCAAAACTCAAACATCACCGACTCGCAAGATGATTATGTCCCTAATGTCCCCGCCTTGCGGTATATTTGCATCGAGATATCTGAAACTATCTACTCCAGATTGACGGTCAGTAATCTCCAGTGGCTCCTTTTCCTGGTTAGAGATGCAGCTTAAAAACGTTGGTCATCGCCACGTTTATGAATAAGCCCATTGTTCTTTAAGATCTAGTGCCCAACGACACCGTAGTCAGTAAGTCATCAAGACTATGTAGGCAGAGCGATTTCGTCAACGTATTATAGATCAGCCAGTCAACGCCGGGGCACAAATCCGACAACGGCAAACATCAAAGTCATGCAAGGCCTGAAACCACTTGAGAGTAACAATACGAGAGACCCTTTAAATAGTTTCGACGACACTTATACCACGGCAGCTCTTGTGCTTTGCGTTACCTCCCTTTTTGAAGACAATGTCTGTAAAATCGCTTCGTGGAGTCAAGCTGTCAATCTCGACACAATAATGATAGATGCTGTCCTCTCTGGGCGTCTATTAGTTCCACAGCTGTAACATTGCAACGGCATTTTCCTCATGGGAAAGTCACACGACACTGCATAGGCCGGAGAAAGAAGAAACTGTGCCCCAAAACGGAGGCGACACATTATTCGGAAGGTGCTCAAAGTACCCTTGCCAGCGTTTAACTTTAATCAAATTTTCAACAATAATGATGTCACTCACACAGCGAACAGTTGCTCAGTGCCAGACTCCAACCGCTAACATAATGGACAAAGTTGAAGAGTTTTGGGTGCTGCCAAAGTTTGAGGCGTGCTGCATGGAAGTTGCCACTTCTGCCTACCAGTTATTGAGGTCTTTTCTAGTTGACTCTGTTGTCCCTTCTCAGAGTCAATGAAAAAAATTTTGTGGGATCAACCTCGAGCTATCTGGGAAAACAAATATAAGGATTCTGAGCTGATCTAGTCCTTACGGTATTACCGGGCAAATCCGACAATTCTCTCGGCATCCTTGCTGACTAAGGACCTCAACGACGACCAATTTCCATACTGCCCTCTCTTTCGACTTTATTTGTGATGCGAGAGCAGTTTCGAATCTCAGAGCCTCGGTTGCGTCTAATTGTGAAAAATGAGCTCTGTCAGGTTTCGGGTACCAGGGTGGAGGAACTTTCACACATCACAGTGCACAGTATCAAGAGTTCGCCCTTCTCCGATTGGTCCAGATCGCAAACTCCACTCACACCACTGAACTAGGATTTTAAGGCGTTTTGGACACTGCAGACGCCGTACTATGGATTGTACTACAGCGTTTGGGCACTTTACTAGAGTTTTTTTTGAGATTCTGGGTGTACGTGGGCCCCAACAGCCGTCCAAAATGTTCTTCCGAGGTTGGCTCCTTGAGCGTTTTGGCTCAAGAGTCTAGCCGTGACGTATCGGTGGCATGAGAGGTTATTTAATGCAAGTTCACGGACGCCACGCGGTAATGCCGTCAGCGGGTTTTGTGGCGCCGTATGATGCGGTCTGCATGGAAGGCCACGGTTCTCTGCACTCTGGTAGCACTGTCACTGCTGGTCTGCGACTTTTCATCTATCTGACTCGATTGTCTGTTTATTTTGCAGTTAGCTTTCATCGAAGGTCGTCTCATCACCCGTCTTGCACAAACGCCCCGGGCAATCAGAAGTTAGCCTAATGCGCAAAGTAACCCTTCGAAGTTTGCAGTGGGGTGACGAATTCCAAATTATTTTTATCCAGCAGACGCTTCCTAAACTGTAGTGAGATTAAAATATACTGAAAACTGGATATGGATTTCGTGTGGTCAAAACAAACATATTCAAGTTTGCAAATGCTCCAACACATTCAAAAATGGCGACAGAAGGGATCAAACACATCAGGGCATTAAATATTCACAATTTGTGAAGATCATGACTTTGCATAAAATAGTAGCTCAATGTTGCCTTTACCCGGAGTTCCATTTCAAAAGTCCAAATTTGTGTTTAATGAAGAAAACATTTGATAGGATGCACGGATGTCGACAAGCTGTTACACAGGTCAAATGCTCACCTGGAAGAAGGCAAAAGCCAGTCCGGTCCAAATGAGCGAAAAGTAGTAGCCCGGTTTTGCAAGAGCCAGGAAGGCAAAGATTACGGTTATCATGCTAAATAGAATGGAAATTAAGTTCAGTGACAGAGGCATTGGGAGATTTTGTGGCGCAATTTCTCACAATGACTACAGCACAGTCGATGAGTAAACATGTTGTCTTGCATGGATGGCAAACATGACAGCAAGCTAACGGACAAACTCATTTATAGGCAGAATGATATTAGCGACAAAAAGAAGGGAGACTCATTTATGATAATTCAAAACAAATCAGTGTATTTGGACTAAATGACAAAGGCCCTTGAAAACTCCATTTGAAAAGAATACAATTCTGCATGAAGAGCAGTTAAGTTGCAAAGATTTACAAGTAATTTCAGCATGTGAAATGCATGAAACGCATACTGAAATAGCAGTTTTAAAAAGCTGACAAATTTGCTTAGTAACGGCGAACAGCATATTGACTGCATTTGAACACAATCATGCAGCGCCAAAGTTAATGTAAACAAAATGGGTTATTGGAATTAAGGTGGCAGTATGTTTATAGTTGTGACTGACTTATCACGTGGGGTTTGGGAAGTCCTAGCCGACCTTTAACAGGTGAGTATCCCGGCGCACATCAGAAAACGGGAGACACTGCGACGAGTCGGTCTTATGTGGTTGACTCCATTAGGCTCCAGCTCTTAGAGGCTTTATGTTATAGGTCATGAGTCACCCTTTCAGACTTTTATGACCAGACCCTATGTGCTTTGAAAAGTCCACACCTCCATCAGAAAGTATTACAAACGCTCATTCTCGGAATAGGTGGTGCGTCGAGCTACAGTTTCGGGAGCGAATGAGTGTCGTTAACTACCAACCGTGATTTTTAAGCATAGAATGACTAGCGGTCCGTCTATTCAAGATTTTCGAAGCGATGAAAACCAGATGGGGGTGTTTTGGGCAGACCTAAGTCTTTTTAAAGCCCAAAAACGGATTGTGTCATCAAGTGGATTGAAAGTCGCTAAAGAACATCGGTCGAAAATAGGGAGTCGAGGTCCGAGAAACTTTCCAGGCAGAAGTAGAGTGATTAATATCATTGACTTTACTGATCAAGTCTGAGACTATATCAGCAGAAAAGTCCGTTTCCGGTTAGGCAAGATGTTCGTGCTTATAGACTCGTACTAACCCTAGATAATTTTAGAATAGATGTAATTTCCTGGGAGACTTTCGTGGCCAAAGATAAAAGTACCTGTCGAAATGAAAACAAAAATACAGGGGAGTAAATGATGGGCTAGTGTATTTCTAGCACAAGTAGGCCAGAGCAAAACAAGCAAGGCACGAGCATATTCTTCTCGACTTAAAGTGCCTTTTTTCGTTTACTGATGGCCGGTATCTAAAACCAGGTCAACAAAAGAAGGAACCTATGCATGAGACAACGGGGATGCAAAACAAAGATGGTAAGTCTTTATAAAGGCGGTAACTTACTGAACAAACTTGTAGCCGCTGTATGCGATGATGTCAAGGTAGCCCAAATTAGACTGTATGTTCAGGAGGTAAAGCGCTAGAGTGAGTATGCACACCTCAAGAACCAGCCAGCCGAGAGACTGACTAGAGAATATGCTTAGAGACTCCGGTGAAAATCTTCCGTCTATGCCAAGTGCTAGGCCAGCGACGAGAACGTACGTCAAAAACGCCATAACCGGGATGTAGAGATCTGGTGAATTAAGGTCAGCGCGGGGAGGAACTGGTCCAGCAGAATCGTACTTAATATCCCATGACTTAGAAGAACGCAAGACAACGAAGTCAGTATAAACATCTGATAGGACAAGACGCAGAGAAATTGTGTGATAAACAATAAACTTGCAATGACTATGACAGTGGGCAGATAAGGTGCAAGTTTGGGGCAAGCGCTTATCTACGATCTAACACATAAGCGCAGAATTTAAGGATGTTAACGTTATAAAATTTTTATAACACCTCGCTGCTAGGCTTAGACCTGGATATGGGAGATGCAAAACTACACTCACGCGATGGAAGAATGGAAAAATGAGGATTGAAAGCTTCTTCGCTACGTAGCCATTGTCAACAGCAAAGTAGTATTTCAACTTCGAAATAGAAATAAATTTCTCCACCTAAGCTGTAGACAATGAATGGCGTAGAGTACTTTTTGTTGTACTAGTTGTCTGCTTTGATCGATTGCTTCCGAACCATAGTGTAAAGCCACATTCTTGGCAAGCTGACCGCCGAAAGGCTGGCTGTTGGAGGGGATGAATGGCTGGTTGGCCATGCCGGGAGTTGCATTGACCGCAGAAAATGCTTCCGGAACATAGTTGAAGGAATAATTTGAAGTTTGTGGAAACGTATTAGATGGCTGAAAGTAATTCGGCATATTGTACCCTTGGTCTTGTGGGACTTTCGGGTCATAAGAATACTGGCTCATTTTCACAAGAAAGGAGGCCGACAACCAGGCTAAATATTTACACGTCAAAAGTCTTAAGGGCGGAACACTGATTGGCGGAGATGTCACATGAGTTCTGAACTCGCCTACACCTACCGAATCTTGAGACTCAGATACGTCAAGGATTTGTGATTCTGAGTCGCCAGAATGATACCGCAGACTTCCATAAAACGGCGGTTTTATGCAACGACCTGTCACTCAATGAGTCCATGCACAACTACCTCAATTTCAAAGTCGTAGCCATATCTTGAACTGATGGCTGTGGTTCAATCCAGGAAGATCTGTTCTGTGTCCCCATAGACTGACCTATGAGACTTAATTATAGGTTTGTAGCATTCCCATTTGCGCATATTATAAAAACTTAAACACATAATAAGGTAACCGGCGTTGGTAGGCAATAAAATAATTCTATGAGGCGCATTAACTTTCAGATGGTGAACTGAAACTTATCTTAATGTGGCTCTACCAAAGTGAAGGACTGCAAGTGAGGGAAAAGAGCATAACTTCATGGGAGACGATGGACAAAAAAATAAAAAGCCTAAAATCGAATTTAGTCAAATAATGCAGATTAAGGATTCGTTCTTGTGAGCGAAACGTTCCACAATGGTGCCCGGGCCTCACTGAGAAGACTCCATTGATCATCTCACAACTGCACAAATCCCGTTCAATGAACTGGGCGAACTTAGAAACCGAACTGCTGACGTATAGCCAGGCACCATGGCTCTCGCAGAAACACGATCCTCTTAGATAATACCGGCGTTAAAGAGAGTAAATTAGTTACTTCCGTGTCAAGTGAAATGTATAACACAGACAAGGCAAAGCAAAGTAAACAGTGTGATAAAACGCGGCCCGCGTCACCACTAGCTACTGTTGACCACATGTGGACTTTCTCAGTGGCCTAAATCACTGCGATGAGGAGGGGTTCGCCCGAGAGAGGGCAATGCCAGATAATACAGGGACTTATAAGTATATGTGTGTATATATTTTGAGGGTTAGAGGCAGAGCCCTTGATGACCCCATTTATGTACAGTGCTTTCGCAGATTCGCATTCAAAATAAAATTGCATGCATTTACAATGTGATCGGGTCACAGTACAATCGTTATCATAAGGAAGTGCATCAGGTCACAGTAAGTTAATGTGGAGGGATTGTATATGACAGTGTTTTACAGAACTGGCTGTGGGAAGTCAAGTTATAAAAGCCGATTTCTGTGGAAAATTAGGCGAGCCATGTTTTCATTTAAACATACTACTTGTGCAGCCGCCACCATCT